GTAGTTTGGATCAGTAGTCTACCAGTAGTTTGGATCAGTAGTTTACCAGTAGTTTGGATCAGTAGTTTACCAGTAGTTTGGATCAGTAGTTTACCAGTAGTTTGGATCAGTAGTTTACCAGTAGTTTAGATCAGTAGTTTACCACGCCTCCAGAATAATTTTTAAAGAGTCTTTTTGGGACTTTTTTAACTTTTATTTTTTGTCAAGGCTATATACCCGACCGACAGATAGACTGACTGTCTGTCTCCATCCTTCCTCCGCAGGTTTTGGACATCAGGTCACGGGGACAGCAGTTTAAGCAAGGAGGTCCCTGCATCTCTCTCCACAGACACATCTTTCAGCTCTTCTGGTAGGACTCCAAGTTGTTCCCACACCAGCTAAGAGACGTAGTCTCTACAGCGTGTCCTGGGGCTTCCCTGGGTTCTCCTCCCAGTTGGACAAGCCCTTTAAACCTCCTTAGGGAGGCATCCTTATCAGATGCCCAAATCACCTCAACTGGCTCCTCTCCATGTGGAGGAGCAGCGGCCCTACTCCGAGTCTCTGCCAGATAACTGAACTTCTCATTCTATTGCTAGAGAGTCCAGCGTTCCGCTCGGAGCTCACTTCTGAGTGGGATGTGATGGCTTCATCTGTGGTTTATGAAAAGCTAGAGGAAGATTAAAAACGAACTGGTCTGTGCGGCCATTTTAAGGACCTGTCTTTTGAATATGCCAGTAGGACCACATCACTTGCAAACATCAGAGACGGAATTGAAAAAATAATTTTAAAAATAATCTGTGACAACAGGCAGCCCTGGCAGAGTCCAACACCCATCCTGACGGGGTCCAACTTACTGCAAGAACCAAACTCTCGCATGGCTTGTACCAACAGACCCCCAATCCCATACTCTTGGAGCACCACTGATTCAGTGTCCCATAGCCGAGACAAAACCCACATTGTATACCTGAGCCTGCAGGAAAAAGACTAAACAGGGAGTCTGCTTCCTTGTACTTCTGCATAAGGCAACTTCAAGATGTGCAGGAGGCTGTCTGAGGGCTGAAGCCATGGAGCTATGGTCATTTTCTCAACTTTTAACTGAAAATACCTTGGAATCGGAACCAAACATTAAAAAAAGCCCAGTTTTCTTTGATTGAACTTCCTTTGATGATGTGTAGAAATAAGGAGTAATGACTTATTAAATTGTCCTTCTGGAAACTGGATAAAGAGGCTCTGATACTTAACATGATGGTAATGACATATTTTACTCAAAAAGAGAAAGTTAATATTTTCAGATTTCTCCAGGCATGGCGACCTAACTGAATGTAAAATGAGTCCAGATGACATGATTTAACTTTTTTGTGACAAACTGAATGTACTTTAATAATAATAAAAATGTGTTATGTATTGTTATCATTGTATGTTCCCATACAATGGTGAAATTAGCTCTCTGCTTTCAACCCATCCACCACCAGGCTGAGCAGTGGGCAGCTATGGAAAGCACCCAGGGAGCAACTGGGGATATGACACCATGAGATGTGCAATTAGTGGGGATCGAACCCAGGACCTTCGGGCCCCGAGTCGGCTGCCCTGCCCCTACACCATCTCAGCCCTGATAGATGTTTGCAGGAAAAGAACTGTTTTTAAACCAATGATAAAGAGTGCTAATTATCTGCGTTTGAGGGGGGAGGTCTCTGTAAGCCAGAGTTGTGTCATGTATGTACCTTCCATAAGATGCTTCAGGTCCCACAGAGCCGAGTAGTGCTCCCGGCGAATTGCGAGGAAGATGATTTTAGCCTTCCCAACAGCGTCTTCATAGTGAGTGACATCCACCACGTGGGGAAAGGAATTGGCTGCCAGTTTGGGACGGCGGCTGCCAACCACCACCTTAAAGCCGCAGCGGAGCAGGCGAATGACCAGGCACTTTGAGAAGTCACCTGAGCCCAGGATAGCCACCAGGTGTCGAGTAGGCGTCAGACAGGAAGTTCTTGATTCTGCAGCGGTGGTCCTCACTCCATTGTGCAGCAAACAGGTCTGAGAGTGATAAAGGTGGTGGGAGGACATTGCTGTGAGGGACAGGGGGCTCCTGTTGCAGCCCATAGAGATAGAGTCCATCTTTCCTTCTAGTTACTTCTTGTTACAATTTTCAGTTTATAGATATTTCAGCTGACCTAAGGAGGTAAATATAAGAATAAAATCAGATTTGATTAGACAACTTGTCAAGGTTATAATCTCAATATCATGTACAAACCGGATTCCAAAAAAGTTGGGACACTAAACAAATTGTGAATAAAAACTGAGTGCAATGATGTGGAGATGGCAAATGTCAATATTTTATTCGTAATATAACATAGATGTCAGATCAAAAGTTTAATCTGAGTAAATGTAACATTTTAAAGGAAAAAATATGTTGATTCAAAATTTCAGTGTCAACAAATCCCAAAAAAGTTGGGACTAGTAGCAATAAGAGGCTGGAAAAAGGAAATTGAGCATACAACGAACAGCTGGAAGACCAATTAACACTAATTAGGTCAATTGACAACATGATTGTGTATAAAAAGAGCTTCTCAGAGTGTCAGTGTCTCTTGTAGATGAACAGATGCTCAGATATATTCATCATTTAACACGGATTCCTCATTTTTCTGGACTGAATAAAACGTGCATTGAATTTAAGGAAATGCAAACGTGAGACGTCATTTATGTTTGACCCATCAAAATGAATGCGGTCATTTATTTACAGAATCAAAGTTTAACATCAAACATTTACATTAATTTGGCAAATTATGAAAATAACAACATAAGCAATCAATCAGGAAAAATCATACGGCCATGATTTTTCCGTTGCTTCACCACAGACATTTATGAAACTGTACAATTATGATCTTTTACCCACATGGATGTGGATGAGCATTTTACACAGACATTTCTAAAATATCTGGAAGAATTTCTACTTGAGAGAAAAGTTTAAAGATGAAAGAAGTTAAGAGGAGTAAAAGATGGGGTTTGAGGGAGTGTGTTAACAGAACGGCACTCTCTGGGCTTTCTTCAGCTTTTCTTACGGTACACTTCGGTGGTGAAATCGACTCTTTTACCTGGAGCTGTCTCAGGCGAGATTCCGTTTAACGCACCCTTCAGCGTCTCCGTAGGATGCTGTTACTCCTCCGGAGTAGCGGCGAGACTGTCCGACACAAGCTCACCTCAGTGGAAAATGTTATAATCCCATGAACCTCGGAAGAGCTCTGTTGTCATGTCAGGACCTTCCCATCTCCATCAGAACTGAACAGAACTGTCCCAGAACTGTTCCAGCACCATCCCAGAGCTTCTAACAGAACTGAACTGTTCACCGAACTCGAGCAGAGCTTCCCAGAACTGAGTAGACCAGGAAGTACTGACATTTTAAAGAGCTGTTTCCCGGTTCACTCTTGGGAGTATTCCCATTGGCCAGAACCGACCAGACGGGGTGTGTTTTGTGACGTAAGAGGTTAGAAGACAGCAAGAATTGTTATGAAACAGATCAGAAATGTTCTCACAGACAGAGATAGTTTTGTTTTGGCGCGTTTCAGAAACAGGTGCCAAAAACCTCTATATTTATGTCTGAGAGGATTCTAAAAACATGACAGTTAGTTCTAACAACTTGTTTTGCGTTTGACTCCAACCTTGGACCAACTTACACTTGCTCATTCAAAAGCAGAAATCAGAAAAGGCATAATTACTCTGTAACAGCTTTGACATGAGTTCTACTTTGCATGAGAATAAAAATCATTACACAGTTAATAAAATTGATTAGTTCACTGCAACATCTAAAATGGTTTGAACTAAGACATTTTGATTATCAACATTTGTAAAATAGTAATGATAATAAAAAAGAGAGTGTTCTTTCACATTGAATCTTCAAGAGAGAAAGTCTCAGGATGGGTGAACCTGTATTTCTGGATTCAAATCAATGAAATGACAGTTCCTGTCCCACAAGGTTCTTAAGGTCAAGATTTTTGACCTTAGACTTAGTTTTTGACATGGGCCTAGTCCACTACACTCTCAGAAGCCAAGATGGTAAGAGGATCACCAATTCCACCACTGTTGCGCAGAAAGATAGTACAGCAATACCATAATGGTGTTACCCAGCGTAAAATAGCAAAGACTTTTAAGTTATCATCATCAACCGCGCATAACATCATCAAAAGATTCAGAGAACATGGAACAATCGCTGTGCATAAGGGTCAAAGCCGTAAAACTCTACTGGACGCTCGTGATCTCCGGGGCCTTAAACGTCACTGCACCTCAAACAGGAATGCCACTGTCAAGGAAATAACAGAATGGGCTCAGGAATACTTCCAGAAAGCATTGTCAGTGAAAACAATCCACCGTGCCATCCGCCGTTGCCAGCTGAAACTCTACAGTGCAAAGAGGAAGCTATTTCTAAGCAAGCTCCACAAGCTCAGACGTTTGTACTGGGCCAGGGGTCATTTAAAATGTAGTGTGGCAAAATGGAAAACTGTTCTGTGGTCAGATGAGTCACGATTTGAAGTTCTTTATGGAACACTGGGATGCCATGTCATCCAGACCAGAGAGGACAAGGATAGCCCAAGTTATTATCAACGCTCCGTTCAGAAGCCTGCATCACTGATGGTATGGGGTTGCATGAGCGCTTGTGGCATGGGCAGCTTGCATGTCTGGAAAGGCACCATTAATGCAGAGAACTATGTTCAGGTTCTAGAACAACATGTGCTCCCATCTAGACGTCGTCTCTTTCAGGGAAGACCCTACATTTTTCAACACGATAATGCCAGACCACATTCTGCAGCAATCACAACATCATGGCTACGTAGGAGAAGGATCCGGGTACTGAAATGGCCAGCCTGCAGTCCAGATCTTTCACCTATGGTGAACATTTGGCGCATCATAAAGAGGAAGGTGCGACAAAGAAGGCCCAAGACGATTGAACAGTTAGAGGCCTGTATTAGACATGAATGGGAGAGCATTCCTATTTCTAAATTTGAGAAACTGGTCTCCTCTGTCCCCAGACGTCTGTTGAGTGTTGTAAGAAGAAGGGGGGATGCCACAAAGTGGTAAAAATGGACTTGTCCCAACTTTTTTGGGATTTGTTGACGCCATGAAATTTGGAAACAACAGATTTTTCCCTTAAAATGATACATTCTCTCAGTTTAAACTTTTGGTCTGTGATTTGTGTTCTATTCTGAATAAAATATTAGATGTTGGCACCTCCACATCATTGCATTCAGTTTTTATTCACAATTTGTTTAGTGTCCCAACTTTTTTGGAATCCGGTTTGTAGACTGACTCCTGGAATAGCCCACCTGCAACCCCGAACAGCACAAACCAGGTACAGACAGTGGATTGAGACATTACCAAAATTGGCTGAGGCCAAACTGAAGGTTCTCAGGTAATTTTTATTTAGTTTTTAATTCTTGATCAACTTTCTCTCATAAAGCTCAACAGTATTTTGAGACTTTCTCTTGTAACGATTGAAGCTGACAACATGACAATGTCTGGATGTCTAAACAGTTTTAAAAAGTGTTGACTTTGTGGAAATAAACAGTTTGTTAGCAAAAAGTTTGTAATATTTTTCACTGTTTTGCTGATGATATCCAGGTGTATATGGCCAACAGATAAATCCAGCTGTGAAGTCGAGATTTTTCCAGTTAAGATTATCTCCAAGGTGAAATCAAATCTCCCCAGTAAAACCATTTAAAAGTCACCCATACATTAATCATGTCCTGTTTAGACAGTTGTAATGATTACTCTGTTGGTTTAGATAAATCATCTTCACTCACAGGCCATCCTGAAACCAGCAGCTTGTTGTTCAAAGGTACCGAGTCGCTGCGGGAATTGAACAGTGAATGTTTGTGACTCGACAGGAGCGATGGCAGAGACTGGAGGTGAGGGCATGTTATGAGCATGACAACTTCATCAAACACAAAACAGCTAAAACCTTTCTGCACCATAGGTCCACGAGGAAACAGCTAAAACCTTCCTGCACCTCTGCTCCATGAGGAAACAGCTAAAACATTCCTGCACCTCTGGTTCATGAGCAAACAGCTAAAACATTCCTGCACCTCTGGTTCATGAGCAAACAGCTAAAACATTCCTGCACCTCTGCTCCATGAGGAAACAGCTAAAAACTTAATGCACCTCTGGTCCATGAGGAAACAGCTAAAAACTTAATGCACCTCTGGTCCATGAGGAAACAGCTAAAACCTTCCTGCACCTCT